AACTTTTGTGATGAAAGTTGATTATCCTTTGTCATAGGTATATGAATTGCGTAATGCTGGTGCTGTCATCCACAGTCATGGTTGGCTCGTGACAATGATCGATCCTTCGTCAAAAGAATTCCGAGTACGAATGCCATACTCTTTTATTCAGTAAAGGTGATACAATATAATGATGATCTCTTTTAGATTTACCCATATGGAGATGATTAAAGGAATTCAGGGCCATGGCTATTATGATGAACTTGTGGTCCCAATCATCGAGAACACTGCTCATGAAGAAGAGCTCACACAATCTCTTGTTGAAGCTGTGCGTATTTCTCATTTTCTTCTTCGTTGTCCTTTATTTCTGGATATACAGTGTGCATGGCTGTGTTTGCTATAGAAACCTGAGAAATCATACAGGGTTTTAGTTATATGATGATGATACTACTGAGAAGGAAGGAATACAAAACTAGTGGTATTATACATACCCAGTTAAAACTACATCACTGTAAAAGTGCAGCATATCTTTTAAGTATTTGAGTTTGTGAACCAGGGTCTTTAGTGCAAAGTATGATAGTCATAGTGGGATTTGGTGAAGATTGAAGACTCCCAAGTGATTACAAACAACATCATCTATACAGACACTAAAATAAAAATGATCGTTGGTGCGCAATGATATTCATAAACCTTCTACTGCTCGTATTAATTTTAAGTTGCTTTATCTGCCTTCGTGCCACTGTTAGAGTTATAAGTGACTAGGAACTAGAAAGTAATGATATCACTTAGCTTTTACACTGAATTTATAAAGCCTAGTTTATGAAGTGATAGCTTTGCTTCACTTAATGTTTCTATGTCCCCAAAGTCAAATGTATAGATCTGCGCCTGGTGAATATCGTGTCAAACACTCATGGACACTGCATGATGATAATTGAAGCTACACTTATATATTTTTATGATAAATTATAAATTGTCCTATTTCCTTACGCTCGTGATAGTGTTGGGAAGCATTAGGAGCTGACATATGATTCGACAGAAACTCAAGAGATATTAAATTATTACGAGCGCAGGTCAGTTAGACATCAAACACCATTCTAGGTTCTTATATCAGTTCTGTTTGGAAAAATAAATAAACAATGTTTTGCTGTGTGTTAGTTGCTAATAGATTCTTATAGGCCAATGAAATTAAGTCAATTACTCTTAATCCCTAAACTATGGGGTTGTTTTTGTTTCGCCAGTTGTAAGCTTTTATTTTTTGTTGCACTTCACCGCCAGAACTATGCGTTCTATTTCACATTACCCTCTTAGACATCTCATATTCTATCATGCACGGACACTTCCCACGAACGTTGAATCTGTTTGTTTTTGGTTTTTTGTTTGACTACAGTTGTATCGTGCAACATTTAAAAGTTCGGTGAGAAAATTGTGTAACCCAAAGTTTGAGCAGCTTTAAGTAATTTACTCGAGTTTTTTTTTCTTTTTAATTTTTTTGTAATATACCCATGCAACATGGTAACGATGGTTGGCTATACCTATAGTAATGAAATATTTCTAGCTGATCTTTCTGGGTTCACAAAATTAATTTAAATATTAAAAAAACCCCTATAAAGTCGTCGTTATATTGAGGGCCAGAAAGCATACACAAAATTATTCTGTACCTCTGCTTTCTTATGCAGTTACAAGAAGATCTAGAAAACAACATTGTTGGGGCAGTTTCAGTTTCTTCATTCAAGAACCGTTTTTGAACTGTTTACATGTTGCTTAAAAATTATTATGCATATTGTAATATGTATATACTTGTTTGAATATATATATTTATATATATATATATATATATAATAAAAAGTTCTTTGTTTGCAGGCCAATTTAGCAATTATAATCTACTATTCTTCCTTCAAGTGTACATTTATTCCAGTGGCAGCAGATTATCTACAAATCTCTACATATATTCCTACAGGTACTTATATTCGACTCGTGTGTGTTTCAACTATTATCTAAGTACGGTAATCTTATTTCTTTCCGACTTGCAATAACAAAGAGAAACTAAAAGCTACATTCAGATCACAGAGTCTCTCGTGATCGATCATCCTTCACAAATTCTATTTGTTACAGATGTCTATCAAGAAGCTATAGCTGCTAAAGCAGCTGGTAATTATCTTATCCTGTTTTCATTTTCTTTCATATTTTCCATTTTGTTCTTACAACAAGAAACCGTTTTCGAACACTGCATTGGTAATCTCCGAATTGGAATCAATATTTCTACGAAGCGGTTTAATCTGGAAAACAAATGTCTTCACATCTACAATATCATTAGGATAAAAATCACAACATGGTTGGAACTCAGAAAATAAACTTACTAGAAAGACCATATTAAGAAGTTTTTGACCATTATGAAAATCACCCTTGACGTTTGTGTTTGTTAATAACAGATTTGAACGTGATAATATTGATTCGGCTGGGAAATGGGCTGCTTCCCGAGAGCCACGGGCTTCAGACGATTAAATCGTTTTCGGAACTCTAATAGAGAATTTACTCCCCTTCAAACAGCAAGCTTTATTTATGGTAAATTTTTTTGCTCTGGTCTGGTTTACTACACAGATGAATTTAATCTAATTTTCATTCATTGATCTGTCTCAAGAGAGCACTTTGTTGTTTTTGGTGTCAATTAGCTTCCAAAAATTCATTGTTAGGTGATGTTTTAAAAGGATTCATATGCTCTCTTCATGACTTTATCTTAAGGGGGCAGTCAAACTCAAACTGTGTCTTATTAGGCAAAATATATAATGATAAAAGAAAAAAAAAAAAATATTTGATTGCTTAACATATTGTGTCAATCATTGCATTTACAAATTTGAATAAATCAACTTTGATTGTATGGGAAAGAACACAAAATTTTCCAACAATGAAAAAATACTAGTATTAATTTTATTTTATGTGATTAGAGTCAAACAAATAATAATTTCTTGGTTGACTTGAATGATTTTCAGTCATGATAATAGTTTCCACTTTCTTCTTATCCCTATCTGATGCCTTCTCCATCAACTGATCTTCTCTTAGACTAGACATGGTAAAAAAAAAAAAAAATAGATGTTTTTTTCCCCTTATTTTTTTTTTTCAAATTTTTGGATACACTCCACCTTTAACAGTATGTTTGAATAAGAAATCATAAAAAATAAGAATATAGTTTTTTTTTTTTAATAAACTAGAAAATTTAAGAAATGCATTATATAATGAATTGATCTAACTAAAAAAACAAATCAAATTTAGATGGTACTAGGAAAAAGAACAAAAAACTTAAAAAACAATAAATGTCTGTAACAATCTAAATATAAAAGTAAGATTAAAATAATAGACAAGAACCAAGTATAAATAGAAAAAGACAAAAATGGGTCTATGAATCTTTTTTGAGAGCTTGAAAATAGCTTATATTAAAATAAAAATATAGAGCATAAAAATTTACATCTTAGTGCAAGTATTTTTAGGTAACTGTTGGAATATCACTTGTGAGCTACTCTTCTCATCACCAATTAATGAACCTTGCTAAGTTGCATCTAAGTTCACCTTTTATGGTGCGCTTCTCTGATGAGACCGCACTCTCTTCCCCGATTCTAATAGTAACTAATCGAAGCTTGAAGATTTTCTTTTTTCAAATTACATGAAAAGTTGTAGCAGTAGCTTTTTACATGGGACAAACAGATTTTATCCAATTATCCTTATTTTTGTATAGAGATTTTTTTTTATTTAAAAAAAAATATGAATAAGAATATTGACTGAATGATAGTTTGTCCAAAAATTGAACTTTAACTGAACTAGGCAATATTTTGAACTCTTTGCATCAAATAGGTTTTATTAGCCTTTTAAAATCTTGACTTTTTGTCTAATATGTACTTGATTAGGTTTAATTTTGTCTTGCCAAGATTATTATTACTAATTTTGACAAGTTATAGTCAAGTCCATTGATCTACTCTGAACCTATTAATCAGGCTAATAGCACACAATCTAACTCTTCTTTTGCCCCACACTTTTCCCATTGCATAACCTTTTTTATTACTAGCTTAATTCTATTATCTGTGTTTATTCACACATTATACAGTAAAATAAATAATAATAATAATAATTGATTTTCATACAAATGTAGAGCTTAAACGAATCAAATCGAGCTCGGCTTGTTGAGTTAATGAGCCAATAGACACCTCGAACTCAATTCGTCAACGAGTGTTAACAAATCGAGTTTGAACCTCAACAAATCGAATTATGATAAAAAAAATTAAAATTTATAA